CAGAAATATCTTGTCACTTGTTTATTCCACAAGACCGTTACGAGCTTTGCAAACTAAGTACGGACGGGTCTTCTGTAGAGTTCTTGTTATTATCTCAGGTTGACTAATTTACATATAACCCAGTGTGGTGAATGATTCAGTATATTTCTAGAGTAACATGGGAATCTCTGCCTCCAGCATGACAATTGTAAAGAAGAGACTCTAGATATTGACACTGAATACTCCTGAACTGACACTGTATTAGCTGTGGAGAAGTTAAGATTTCAACAGATCAAGCCAAATTTTCAAATCAGCCCCTACATCTGTACAATGTGTGCAAACAAAAAGTAATGTATATTTGCATATGCAAAAACAGAGTTAGATGCACAATCACCTATTTATGTTCTCAAAGGTAAATTTGTTGATTTTTAAATCAACCTTCTGATGAGTATGTATACAGGGGTGGAGGTTGTAGCCGTGTTGTTTTAAGGACATAAGCCGAGGTTATATAGGTGAATCTGATATCTTTTATTAGACCAAAAATAGTAGGCGAAAATTTTTTTAGCAAGCTTTCGAGTTTAAAAATCCTTTGTCAGGCTGAGGAAGTCTCTGCAGTTGCTGTGTGCTCTTCCTGGATAGAATGAATAGTAAGTAAGCCAGAGGCTGGGCTGCTCTGTATGCAAGACAGGCAGTCAGTGAAGATGTAAACTGAGGAATTAGTGGGTGAGAGACAGACTGGGTGGGGAGGGAGAAAGGGGATGACTGTAGCAGGTAAATAGTGGAGAGGTACCTGGGGAGTCAGATGTCAGGCAGGTTATAATGTGTCATAAATCTATATGTCTATATTTAGTCCATGATTTTGTGTATCCAGGAGGTTGATGAAGTGAAGTTCTCAGAGGCTCGTCTGTGAGAAGTGTTTTGTAAGTTCCCTTTGAGGATTAGAACTGAGAGATTGGAGAGAGTGTGGTTTTCTTGTGAGAAATGTGCCCGCACAGATAACTGGCTATTCTTGTCTTTGATAGATTTCCGGTGTGCATTCATTCTGGTGCACAGTTGTTGTTTGGTCTCTCCTACGTATTTTGCATCAGGGCATTTGGTGCACTGGATGAGATGTATTACATTTCTGGAGGTGCAACTGTAAGATGCAAGGATGCTAATGGCTCTGTTGTGGGGTGTAGTAATTGTGCAGGTGGTGGAGATATTTGTTGGCAGGTTCTGAATGTCTTGTCATGGCATGGTCTGGATCCATTTGGCGTATTCTGGGTTGTAGGAAGTTTGCTTCTGGTGATGAGGTTAGTGAGGTTCGGTGCTTGTTTGAAGGCTAGGATGGGTGGTACTGGGAAGATCTCTTTAAGAATACAGTCTCCTTCTAGCATGGGTTGCAACTGTCTGAGGATTTTCCATATGGGTTCGAGGGAGGGGTGATATATCATAACCAGTGGTATGTGATTCGTGGGGAGTTTTCTTGTGTAGTGCTGCAGTTCTTCACGTGGTATACAGGTGGCTCTTTCAAACATGTGATCTCTTTCTCTGGAGGAGTGTCCTTGTTGGGTGAAAGCCTTTTTAAGACTGGTGAGGTGGCAATCCTGGGTGTTCTCCTCCGTGCAAGTTTGGTGGTATCTGAGGGCTTGGCTGTATATCACAGCTTTCTTGGAGTGTTTACGGTGATTGCTGGTTCTTTGCAAATATGTACATTGGTCTGTAGGTTTCTTGTATAACGTGGTCTGTATTTTAGGATTTATTCAATGAAACCTAATATTTCCTCAGTTAGGGTTCCATGGTTGGAAATGATAGGTCTGTCAGGGTTCCCTTGTTTGTGGATTTTAGGAGGCATGTAAAAAGTCCCTGGGTTAGTTAGTGGGAGGATCAAGGTCTGTAGTTTTTCTTGTACTTGTGGTGGAAAGGATTTGATATTTTTTTTCAGTTTTGTGGTGAAAAGGGGAGTAGGATCTTCTTGTAGTTCTTTGTAGTAGGTGGTAGCAGAGAGTTATCTGTTGGCTTCCTTTACTTAGTCTTCATGGCTTAGGATGACTATGGCTCCTCCTTTATCTGCTGGTTTTACTACTATTTGGTGGTTAGATCTTAGAGATTCTATGGCCCTTCTCTCTGGTAGAGAGAGGCTGTTATGGTGGCGTGTGTTGTTGATTATTTCCTTGTTCATTCTTTCCATGAAGCAGTCACTGTAGCGGTCAAGGTTACAGTTTCATCCAGTGTGCTGTGTTCACTGACAGGATACATTTGTTCATGTGTCTTGCCTCTCCCTTAGCATTCAGCTATACTATATATTCATATGCAATTGGCTTTAAAGAGCCACCACTGGATGCTCCTGAGCCAAGAGAACGCAATCTTTGTTTGAATGGAAAACGAGCGCGTGAGCCACTAAGTGAGAGCAAAGAGACAATGAGGGAGATAAGTAACCAGTGAAAAAGAAGCATAAAGAAGGGAAGTGCCTGAAAAGTAGCTGAGGGAGGAAAAGCAAATGGTGAAAAATGTGCCAGAGCCTGGTTAAAAGGGACACTCAGCTGTGATGAGGTGTAGTTGTTCCATTAGCAAAAGAAAAAAGAATGGAATTACTGGATTAACTTTTTGTTACTGTAATATTCAAAACACTAAGTGGCAAAGCTATTAGTGTGTGCTGAGCTATATAAAGAGTAACATCTTGGAGTTGCTTTTTCCTAAGAAAAAATAGCTGCTTACAAATCAAACATAACTGTTTTACTGTCAGCAATCTGTCAATCAGGCTCTTTACATCAAGTAGCTTTATGAGACAGGCTGGGACACAAACAAAAATAGTTTCACATTTTTTTGTCCATATTAACAGCCCTTTTAGCTTAGTTTGTCACTCAACTCACATTTATTTAATGGTTTGATTTTCTTTATGTTTTATATTAAAAAAACTTTATTAGGTTTCCTCCCCCCCCCCCCTTTTTTTTTTTTTTTTAAAAATGACCAGGACTTTCTGCCCATGATATCCATAACTTGAAGTAAATTACCTGGAAAATTAACTAAACAAAAAGTTTTCCATCATTTCTGATTTAACTTTTCAAACTAACAAGCAAGAAGTTTTCAGGCTAGCCACCAGTAGCTAGTTCTGGAATATCAGGGAATGGACAGAAACAGTGATGGCATAAGTGGTGGGAAACCGGTTTTCCCATACCACCCTATAATATGACCACCAGCCAAACCCAAAGCATTTTTAGAGATTTCTTGTTAATTCTGAGGATTCATGAACTATAATTCAGGCCTCCCAACTCATAAGATTAGATTAAAATTATGAGGATTTAAAAAAAAAAAGATATATTGAGTTAATCTTTCTTTCAGTTTTAAACCTAGTTTGTGGTGGGCACTCAGGTGGTATTTTGAAGCTTTCCTCCAGAAACTTAAATTTCTCTACATAGATGACTTCAGGACACAGGGCTATTAGAAAAATCACCTAAAATTATGATTATGAGAGTTATGATACAATTAAAAGAGTCAGCTAAACTGTCATAGTGGATGATTAGATCCCTTTGCTCCTGTACAGCAACAGCCAAAAAAAAAGCTTAAAAACAGAATTATTTGCTGCACCAGGAAATAAAGATGTAATCAAACCAAAGTCAGAGAAAGCTCAGTGGAACCTGTGTCATGTAATAGCCTACATCCCAAATTACCACTGCAGAAGTTAGATCCTATTTCATCTGCAGGGCACCAAAATGGATTCAGGATTACACTTTTAGGTGCCTATTTCATACAGTGCAAATCTCTGAAAAAATGTTAATGCACTTCCTTCTGTAACATACCCATCATCTTAGCTGTACGACAGTCACAAAAATAGTGAGGATGAGAAGGACCAATTCATATTTTATGCTGTCTTTTTTTCAGGAACTGGAGGAGGGTGGTACTGAATTGCATTTATGTGCCTAAGTTTACTTAGGAGTTTAATAAATAGAGTGGGATCTAACCCAAATCCTCAGAAGCCAGACCAACATGATATTTTCATGTTCTTATAAATTCCAATTTTCAACATCTTGAATGGTCCTGTGCATCAAGACTACATATTTTCCTAGCTATCTGTTAAAAACAAAAAAGGACCAAACTGATTCAATGCACACTCTTCTTAAGTAAAGCACTCTGGAATCCACAGCAGCAGAGTACTTCATCTGCACACATCTACAGAGATACATATACTTGGCTTGATATGAAGGCACTGCCTTTCCAAAGAAAGCTAAAAGAGTACATTCTAAAACAGAAAATATGACTGATATGGATGAAAGGGAACAAAACCTAAAAAGTTATTCTAAAAGCAGGTCATAATTTCCTCTTGGCCCTCAAGGAAAGCAATATGCACATACTTCACAAGTAGGAATTGACCTCAAGTTCATGCTTGTCCAGATTTACCTGTGCCACAACAAAAACCTTCATTTTAAAAGAAAAAAAAATATAAAAAGCAAAGAAATACAGAACTGATCTCCTAAACAAAGGACAGGAAGAAATCTGTAATGTTTTCTGGACTAGTATTTACAACAGAATTCCAACTAGAGATTAGGGTACTCTCAAATCTATTGCAATTCAAGATAGAAGATCATAATGTAGGGAATATATACAGTTCAGTCCACAATGCCTATTCATGTGAACAAAACAGAACAATAACCAGAACAGAACAAACTTTCATACTGCACACTTAAGGATTACTCCTGACTTTCAATTAACTTATGCTATCTATATAGATTTGCTTCATCTACACTATACCTTAAAATTTAGTAATAAAAAAATATGATTGACTTTAAACCCATTAAATGAAGACTTACATGAGATTGATTCACTCTCCACTTTCTCCATGCAGTTTATGGATTTAACAAAAAGCCTATTTATAAACTACTAAAAATGATCTGAACACCCTTTCCTAAAATAATACACTTCATTAAGGATTTAAATAACCATAAATATCTTGGAATAAATCAGAAGACAACACTGCACTTGACAAAAACCCCAAAATAGACATAACATTAAAATATTCAAAGGCAATTAACTAGTGCTCGTACCTTGTTCTTTTATCTGACGAATTTGCTTCACAGTTTCTTTTAAGATTGCACATTTGTCAGGTTTAAAGTTAAAGTTGTCAATATCATTAAAATTTGCAAAAATCAGCTCTGCAAGTTCTTCTATGTATTTATTCTCCTGCTCACGGTTACGTTTCTCAGTGCTTCTTTTAGGGCTGAAAGCAGAATTAAGATGTGCTGTTTTTAATAATAGTTTGATTGTTGTGTGTTAAGTGTATTTGAAGGTGATATTACAATCTTTAATCAAGGCATAACATAAAATTTCAAGAAACAAAACCAATGCCCTTTCCTCAACAAAATAGTTTCTCAAAGCTCCACATAGAAACAAGGTAGTTAGCTCAAAATGGGAACTTTAAAAAGGACACTTATCACTTTTATTTTTTCCCCCCCCATAAATGAGAATTTAGTCAGTAAATAAATCTGCAGGTGGGAGGTTGAAATTTCATAAACGTTAAAAGTAGATTTAAACAAGCACCACATATTTTCCTCCGTGTTGAAAATCCAAACAAAACAAAACAATAGAACATGGAAGGTGAAAGCCCTAGACAGTAGATTTGAATGGCTGAAGGCTCCTTTATCACAGTGAGTACCAGAGTAAGAATTTTCTCTTAAGTTTTCTTGTCTTTATCCAGGTAACATCATGAATTCTCCTCATGAGTCAGTCCTAAATCAAATATATTAGATTCATAAAATGGGTCCATGGCTCTCATTTTCTGAATGGAATAGCCGAGTATTGTCTTCCTTCTGCTCTGGCAATTTAGTTGCCCACTGCCTAACAAGTTTAGATAGTATGTGTGCACTTCATATTTTTCCTGCAAGCTACCCACCCAGCAACAAGGGTGGTTCCTTTATTGGACATGGTTTGTACCTGAGGATCACAAGCTATGTGTGCATATCCCTCATTCTCAAGATCAGAAAAGTAATGTTTCTGGATCCCCAAACTCCACCAGAGGGTATAAAGATAAAGGATCATCCTTCATTCTGTTTGCCAATTCAGAATTTCAGCAAAGAAAGACTAGCGATTGAATGCTGGTTGTAGGATCCATATAAACAAAAATACTATTTTTAATTCTTCAGATATTTGCACGTGAGATTCCCCCAAATGACTGGGAGGCAGGCCCACATCTGGAAGATGTAACTTTAATCTAGATACTCCTAGAGCAACACAAGCATAGCAAAAATGTTGTAACCTTAACCCTGTTTTATTAAGCATTAAAGTTCTGCCTATTAAGCTAACTTCCATCTCTGTGGAAGCAAGCAGACATAGCAGTTGCACTGTAATAGCAGATGTACATTCCTGAGCCGGTGCTCCCTCGCTCCTTTTAAAATTGTTGCAAATTATGTTTGCTTACAGCTTTAATGTTTGGTAGGAGGAATATGCTAGCAATGTGGTAGCAATTTGGAATACACTGGTTAGTTTATTTACATATTCTCTAGAAGGAATTGATTTGTCCTTTATCAACGCTATTTAATCAATAGAAAGATGGAGTCTAAAGGACTGTCCTATCTGAAGAAATATACAAAGAAACAGCAGTGTAGAGTTTTTCTTCCTCTGGCAAAGAATAGGGCTTTGGTAAAAAAAAAAACAAAAACCCAACAACAACAAATAAATCTGATTTAAATAAAAAGTCTAAAACTGTTTTTGGAATAAATTCAGGATGAGATCTCAATGAAAACTAGAATAAGAAAAGGCAGCCGTGAGTTCTGGGAATGCATTGACATATGTGGCTCAAGCAAAGCCCACTAAGAGAGCTGTACTGAAAGTAAGATGGTGAAGATAATGGGTTCAAAGGGAGTTTCCATGAAACCTATGGAAGCCAAAGAGATTTGGAGAAACAGAGGCTCCCTAGTTTAAGGAAGGAGGGTCAGAGCACACTGAACGCAACCGGATTGAATGGTGGCACGTGGAGATTCTTTCAGGATAGACCTTGAGAGAATTTCCGAAGAAATGAAGTGGTTTTGAGTTATAGGGTGAGGGCAGACAGCAAATCTTCCACTTTAAGAAGGTTTTCCTTCTGGAAGGCTTCCAACTTTGGAACAGGATTTCTCACAGTCCTAGTGAGCACTCTCTAATAATAGTTTTTAGCTACCTAAAATCCAGGTTAAGTTTGGTGATTTTGTATTGAGATATAGAATTTATCCCT